AAAAAAAAAAAAAAAAAAAAAGAAGAAAAAAAGCTCAGTTTATTTTAGGAAAGGGTAAGCCTTATATATCCCCCACCCTGCTGGGGGTGGGGTCCACTGAGCTGGCATCTACTGAGGTGATGTGGTTGCTGTTCATAGGTTCATGACATATGTCAGACTTGGCTACAATTATCAAGGCCTCTGGCAGACCCAGGCTTGCTCTACTGCGCATGCTCTTAGTATCGGCTCTTAGTATCGCTGGCTCTCAGGCCTGTTAAGGCTTAGCCACCCCACAGTCCAGGCTGGCCTCAAACTCAAAGCAGCAATCCTCTGCTTCAGCCTTCTAGGTAGCTGAGATATGAGCCATTTCCTAGGTTTTAGGACTAAGTGCTTGCTGGAGTTGAGGACGTCTATCTCTGAGGATGCTTCTGGAAGCAGAAAGGTACAAGCGAGCGGGAGTGGAGCCTGTCATGCAGACACATGGAAGCGGCTCTCATCCGGAGGGTAGGACTGCAAAGCAATCCATGCCTCTGTTGCATGGAGGCACTGGAGCAGGCAGAGGACCAAGAGGGCTGGGATGGTCAGGAATAGAAATTCAGAGGTCCATCCTCTGCTATTCGGTGTGCCTAAGAACAACTGTGTTGCTGTGAACGCCCACTTTCCCGCCCCTGGTTATGTGACAGTCGTATGTAAGCGCCAGGCTCCTGGTGCCCTTTATCACAGACACCGTTCTAGACTGCAGTTTCTCCATTTTCATTTCTGCTGCAGACGAGGTCACTGTCCACTTCTTTCCAAATTCACTGAAAGAGAGACAGAGACAGGTTTATTTTTAATTATGTTATATGTACACATGAGTGTGAGAGCCTCAAGAGAGCATTAGATCCCCTGCAGCTGGAGTTGCGGGTGACTGAGAGCCACCCGCAGTGGGTGCTGGGAACCAACTCCGGGTCCTCTACAGAAGCAGCACTCTGAACCGTCTCTCCAGCCCCAGAGATAAGAAGCGGCTTCCACTTCTCAGCCTCCTCTGTGATGTCTCGTGTTGCTCCTCTTGTGCGGTTCCTCCAGTGCCTCTGTTTGTTATTTTTTCCATTGCTTGGTTTCCCACCCCAGAGTCTGGAAAGCTCCCTAAGAAGCAATCTAGGCAAAAGAGCGGGGATTGTGTTCATAGAGCATCAGAAAGGGGCCTGCCACCTACCTGTGCAGGGGCTGGTTTTCATGAGCTAGAGGAGCACATCCTGCTGGATGGGTCCAGCCGCACACCGGCATGCCAGGCTTGGGAAACAGGGAATGCCGACTGCAGCGTTACTGTCTTGTCCCCTTGTGCCATGGATAACCTGTCCGGCCAGAAGGTGACCTGTTCAGAGAAGAGCCTATAGCCTTGCTTAATCAAATCCTTACTGCAAACATTATTCTCTCTCACACACACAAAGTTCTTTTTAAAAGCGGTCTTGAACACACATTTATTTTCTCCATTTTCAATGGCCTGTATGTCCTTAAAGACCACATAATGCTACACAGGGGTTTGCTGCTGCCAGGAGCTTCACATCCGACACACGTGGCCTTATCTTCAAAGCCATCCCTTTGTTATTCTCTCTCATCTTCTCACGTTTGTATTTCAGCAAACAATTATTGAAAAATGGATTAGGAGCCAAATTCTTGAATCCTGTTTTGTTTCTCTCCAGCTGGGCATTTTCACTTCATCTGGCCCTGCAGTGTATCCTTGACAGGCACAGGCGAGATGTTCCCTGGCTATTCAGCCATCCCTCGGGGACAGCTCCCCGCAGCTCTCCCAGCTGAGCCTGCCTGGCGCTCCCCTGGACCACTGGCACTGTCCTCAGCAAGCCCCACGCTCACGTCAGTTCATTGTGTTCAGTGTGGGGAAAAGAGTTCAGTGTCATTTGAGGAAATGCCCATTTATTAAACTCTACAAAGAAAAAATAAAACAATATTTTATCCATACACATCCTTACAGTTTAGAAAATGCTCCTGAATGTATTAGCTCATGTAATTCTGGGTTGGAACTTCTATCTGAAAAACAAAAATTAGGGTTGTAACTCAGTGATACAGTGCTTAACTAACACACATATGGCCTTGAGTTCAGTCCCCGGTGGTGGTGGTGGTGGTGCGGAGGGGGGGGGGTTAGGAAGAATAGGAAAAGGGAATTAATTTAAGCTAGTAAAATTCAATTATCCTTGAGGCTGCCAAACCTGTATTTTTACATGAGTAATAATTGGTTTGTAAAACAAAACAAGTAATAGGCCTGGAGAGATGGTTCAGTGGTTGAAGGTGCTCATTGTTCCTCCAGAGGGCAGTTCCCATGGGGCGGGGCCTGGAGAGAGGCGGGGCCTTGGAGGGATGGATCCTTGGAGGGAGGGGCCTGGAGAGGGGCTTCTAACCCTGTCTCCAAGGATCTAGTGCTCTCTTCTGGTCCCTGAGGGCACCTGAGCATATGTGGTGTGTGTGTGTGTGTGTGTGTGTGTGTGTGTGTGTGTGCGCGCGCGCGCGTGTGCACATGTGTATGTGAGTATAGAACCTGAGAGCCAGAGGTGTTGAATGCCCTGGAACTGGAGCTACAGGCAGCTGTGAGCTGTGTCATGTGGGTGCTGGGAACAGAACTTGGCTTCTCTGGAAGAGCAGTACAGTGTTCTGAAGTGCTGAGCCATCTCTTCTGTCTCAGAACTTAGATTTTTTTTTTTTTGCTTTTACTTTTCTTTGATATGAAACTTAATGAAATACACTGTTAAAAGTGGTGTGTTTTTGAGGCTGCCAATCCTTCTGTGTTTTTTACCTGAGTAATAATTGGTTTGTAAAACGCAATTATTGTGGGGTGAAATGGAAAGAAATATCCGCTTAGCTGGAGAGAGGAAGCTGCACTGCCTACCCAGTGGGCACCACTGATGTGGATTTCTGTGCAGACGGCTTGGCTCTGTGGATCTGGGTATCTTAGAGCCGAGCAGGTCAGTTATTCCAAGGTCCCGAAAAGGCGCTATCTGAAAAAGACGTGGGCAGAAGGGAGAAATGGAGACCAAGCAAAGTTCTGTTGTCAAGGTCTCATTTTATTAGCGAAATGGTTGTGGCTTATATAGCCCTTGAATGAGGAATTTGGCTTGGGAAGGGGGCAGGGGCATGGCAAGGGCAAGAAGAGACCTTGCCGGGGCAGAAATGGTCACAAGTCCACACACCTAGTGTTCTCTATGCAAGCGGAATCATTCCTTTTGTGATTCCAACCACAAACAATTCTCTAGATAGTTGGAATGTGGGGTGGGTTCCGCTAACAAATAGCTCTCAAGATAGTAGGGTGTGGGGCTTCCCGCAAACATCCTTAGGACAATAGTCCCTGCTATAATCTTTGGGAAAATGGCTCCTGACACGTCCTCACACAAAACTTCCTGCCGGGAAAACTCACCGGTGTCTCCTTCGCACAAAAAGCATCCAGTGGAAGTCCCAGCGGGAAGGCGAGGCTGGATAAACATGAAGTTCAGTTTTGATCTTGTAGCGTGGGTTTGTCATCCATCCTTAACGCATCTAGACTCTGCTACTGCCCAGCCGCAACGCTGATCCATCATTGAGTCCTGCAGAGCTGCTGACCCCAGAGTTCTCCACAGGGACAGTGATACCCAGTGTTGTGCTCAACACTCTTCTTACAGGATTCCATTTAAACCTTGGCTCCATTCCTTGAGATGGGGACTGCCGTCACCCTCAGCTGAGAAAACGGGCTCAGAGATAGCCAGATGTGGTCCCGTTCAGCTAGCTCCAGCATCCGTTCCTCTTCTCCATGGCTCCATCTTTGCAAGGAGCTTCCACGCTTTGGGGCTACCCTGGCATCTGAGAGGTACGGCCCCTTCAGTGCTTCTTCCGCCGTCTCTTGGTTTTGCGTGCCTCTCCTGGCCCACAGACGGTCCCAGAGCTGTTTGATTTACGCTGTTATTTCTGGCACTTACTCTAGGGCGTGAGATCAGTAGATAAGACGTCTGTGTCAAGGTATGACCCCTTAAACTTGTCCTCATTTAGTTCTCACAACAACTCTGGGAAGTAGAACTCTTCTCAGTTTTATAGATAAAAGCTCAGAAAGGTTAAGCAATTGGCTCAGTTCCCAGAGAAAGTAAAGAGGGAGCCATATTTTATACCTAGGCAGCCACCTCTCTCCAGCCGTCTTGCAGAGCCTGTAATAGGACACTAGGGAACTCGTGCACTTCACTGCATGCGACTCTGCCCTGGGCCTCTTTTCCAGTCACCATCTCTGTCACTGTCCTCCACTCCACAGCCACCAGCCCAGAGCCGATTCCTGCCACTCTTCTGGCGTATTACTATTGCAGTCGTTAGAAAACCTACAGATTGGTAGCCCCTCCAAACCAAAGATTAAATAGAAGGATGATTTTTACCTATAAGTATCTCTGACCTCCCTTAAAGATACAGGCAGATTCCGCACGCCTGGTCCACAGCAGCTTAGCGCATCGCCCTTTAGGGAGTTGGATTTCTGTCCTTTCACGTAGATTGCAGTTTGAGGAGCACACACTACTACAGCTCCACCGACCACACGAGGCAGCCTCCAGAGACTCTCCGGGTGCGTAGCCTTGTCTGCGGCTCTACCTAGCTGGCCCTGGGTCAGCTGCTTCCATTAGGCCGCCACCATCCTTTCTATAACCTCCACATCTTACTGCTAACATAGGTATGTCTCCCTGGGGCCTGCCTGTGCAGGTGTGTGAGGCTCTCCACAAGTCCTAGAACTAGTGTAGAGCCACACGTGGCTGGGATGAGGGTCTCTCCACAAGTCCTAGAACTAGTAGAGAGCCACACGTGGCTGTGGGATGCCTACTGACACAAGACAAATGTCTTCAAAGCAAATAAAAGCAATTATTTTTGGCAGACTGCACAGACCCAACAATGGGGCTTCTCAGAATATTAAGATTTCCTGCTCTTCTGGGAACCCTGGAACAAAGTACTCTGCTGAAGATTCTCAGATGCGCTGCCAAGAAGATGGGCTCCCTGGCAGGGGAGTTCTGTGTACTATTTAAAGAATAGACCTTATACAAGAGAAGCAGTGCGAGATGGCCAGGGTTTTCACTGAGGACAAGGAGGGTGGCCATGTGGCAGAGTCAGACAGGAAATGAAGCTGTGTTCAAAACAACACTGGCCATTTGCCCTGTTTGGAAATTCCATTTAAAGTTATTGAATTCATTTTGAGTGCTGTGAATTATTTATTAATACTCTATATTTAACTTGTTAAATGAAGAATGTGTTCCTGTAAGGGAAAGCCTGTTTCAGTCTACTGCGGATAGTCTTGAGACGTATTTCTAAAAGTTAGAGCATTGTCCCAAGGGGCCCAGCGAAGAAACCGAAACTTTTCTACTCATGTCGTTTGGTCTCATGGTGGCTGTGCATTTTGCTTCTCTTTTTTTGCCATCCCTTTTCCCTCTTCTGCTCATCCTTCTAAATTCATACAGAGGCAGTGACTCCCTCTGAGCCTGCTCATGTGGTAGAGGCAGACCATCTGAGAAGTGTAGTTACCATGGGTGACCGGCTACAGTGACAGCCCAGCACAAGGTTTGTAGTTATCCGACTATCATCTAGATCAGATCCTGAGGCAAGGCAAGGAGGTCTAAGAAAATAGACCTTGATCCATCCACTAGAGCCAACTGGGATGTTTTGTTCATTTTGAGACAGAGTCTCATGTAGCCCAGGCTGGCCTCAAACCAGCTAAGTAGCTGAAAATGACCTTGAAGGTCTGGTTCTCCTATCTCAACTTCCCAAGTACAGGGATTATGGGCATGCATCACACTTCACACACCAGGATATCTGTTCATTGATCACTTTACTAGGCCTATGTGCATAGTAACAACTGCTAAACATGAAAGTTCCCTATGGTCAGATTTTTTTAAGCCATTTTTTTTTTTCTGGACGTTGGTGATGCAGATTAGGCATCACTAATTCAAAACTCCAGAACTCTTTTTGAGTACCAAGATGATGCCACAGCAGACAAGTCACTGCTGCAGAATTTGCTATCTGCACATAATCATTGAAAATATTGAATAAAATTACCTTCAGGTTATGGCTATAGCATGCATATGAAATACATATGAGTTTCTTATTTATACTTGAGTCCCATCTTCCATATCTCATTGTGAGCATGTAAATTTTCCAAAACTTGGAAAATCCAAAGTTCAACACACTCTGTTCTCAAGAAATACTCAATCAGGACTTCCTTTAACTGTCTGCTTAGGGGACTGGAGAGATGGCTCAATGATTAAAAACACCTTATTGCTCTTCCAGGAATAGGGTTCAATTCCTAACACCCACATGTTGATTTATGGCCATCAGTAACTCTTACTCCAGGGTATCTGATGCCCTCTCTGCCCTCCTCAGGTAACAGGCACCATGTGATGTACAGATATACATGCAGGCAAAACACTCACTCATAAAATAAAATGATTAAATATAATTTAAATTGTTTCAAGTCTGCTTAGGTTTTTGTTTTATCCCTTTATAATTCTTTCATATCTTCCAATATTCTGTCTGTCCAATGTTCAGTAAGATCAATTTAATAGAGATAAGTGTCTTGAGATGTAGTCTATAGGATACAAGTAGACCTCTACAAATACAGCTCTATACACAGTTAGTGCTCAACAAATACTAAATATTACATCAGGGGGATACTGTATAGCTTTACTAGTGGAAACAATGCAAGCATGCGGTTAGAAGGAAGAAAAGTGGAGGAGCAGAACGTTCTCGGCACGGACAACAGGCCAACTGGTCAATCTCTTTAATATTTTGTAAGCCTTAGATGAAATAGAAAAATAAAAAGTACACAAATTGACAGTCTATAAAATAAATCAATAGGGCATGTGATAACATATCTACCCTCATACATAATAAAAATGTAATAAAACATAAAGTATATCAGAAAGAGAAAAGTTATAAATTACTAATATCAGACAGAGTGGCATTACTACCTACGTGGCACACAATAAAAGAATAGCCAAGCAATGTGAGGAAGATGTGTACACAAGAGTGCTTGCCTTGAACCATAGAGCTACTGCACACAAGCAGAAATGGCAATTGGAGTTAGCCATCATCTAGGGAATAAATGCAATTAGTCATTGACAACCTTTCAAAACAGAAAGCACCAGGCCCAGATATGCCTAGGGGTCGAATCTACACATATAGGGAGATCTCACCAATTTTCCCATCTTCCCAAAACCAAAAGGCTACAGGACACATACTAACTTACGCTGAGACCGGCATTGTTCTGTTACCAAAACATGGCCGCAGTGAAAGAAAAAGAACCTGTGGTGTCTTCTGTGCACAGACACCAGAATCTTCCTCAGAATATTAGTAACTTGGTTCCGATGATGTATAAAACAGTTATATAACCATGGTCACATGGGTTTGATTCCAGCCACATGAGGCAGGTTCAGTTTGCTCCAAAGTCAAGTAATGACCCAATTATTTATTGATTAATTGATTATATTATGATAAGTGTGTCCCTATAATCCCAGCACTTGAAAGGTAGACAGGAAAACCAGACTGCTTTTGAGATTGGTCTCAGTTATGCTGTGAGTGCAAGACTACCCTGGGGTACATGAGACACATCCCCAATTTATACAGTGCTGGGCATCAATTCCAGAACTTTATGTATTTGAGGCAAGTTCTCTACTGACCAGCCTACATCTGCCTTTCTTTTCTTTTCTTAAAGATTTATTAGTTTATTATGTTTATATGTATACATATGCCTACATATGTACCTGCAGGACAGAAGAGAGCACCAGATCTCATTACAGATGGTTGTGAACCACCATGTAGGTGCTGGGAATTGAACTCAGGACCTCTGGAAGAGCAGCCAGGGCTCTTAACCTCTGAACCATTTCTCCAGCCCCTGCCTTACTGATTTCTAAAACAGAAAAAGGACCAGAATTGACAGCTCCCTAAAACCAGATGTACAGATGGCAAATACATACATGAAAAGGGGCCCAGGTTCATAGGTCACAAAGACCTAATGCTCCTATAAAAATGGTTCAAATCCAAATCCTTAACTAAACCAAATGCTGGTGAGACTGTAGAGCAGCAAGAACTCACCTTCCTTGCCGGTGGGCGCAAAGGGTACAACTAGAAGACCGGTGTAGAATATTATTTTAAGGTGTGCTACTTTTGTTTATGCTCAGGAACATTTGTTTAATGATGCAAACATGTGTCTGATTAAATAAAATTCACCTGCGGTCAGGAGGCTGCATCAGCAACTAGCTGACAGGAAGTTGTAGGGAGGAGCCAGATGACGAAGGGTTTTTAAGGAGGAGCTAGGAGAAGCAGGAAAACAAAACGTCTTGGGGGGACACGGGGAGGTGAGCTGCCTGCCATTCAGCCTCTCTGGGGAGCAGACTTCTATGTCAGCCTTTAAATCTTGAGTTCTCTGGAGGAGCAGAATTTCCTCAGGCTGCAATTCTTGCTGCCTAACCGGTGCTGGTTCAAAGGCAGCAAAAATGAAAAAAGAGGACCACAGGAGACAGACCGGCTGTTCCCCTCGAAGCCAAGCACAGTCTTACCCTACAGCTAGGCAACTGTGCTTGCTGCTACAACCCGGCGACTGATACTTACCTGGGAAGGGCAGGCTGAGTGAGTGGGAGGAATGACTGCCTGGATTTCTCAGGGAGAAAAGGTGGGTGTCAAGGTAGAACACAGAGGGGACTTCTGGGAATGAAATTCCACTCTACAGCACTTTGGTGGGAGGCATTTAAACAATTACTAAAACCCCCAGAACTGAAATTGTTTTAATAACATTTGTTTACCATGCATGTGGGGTCAGCTAACAGAGTCAGGTCTCCCTTCTACTGTGTGAGGCCCAGGGAATGAGCTTGGATTGTCAGGCTTGGCAGCGAGTATGTGAGCTCAAAATGCATGGAACGTTCTAGCACAAGGCATGAATCCCAGTGTAAACTCTGAACTTCAGT